AACACACAGAATAAAAACAACAGTCAGTAAAGAAAACTAAGCAACAACAGAGTCTATTTTGCCCCAGGAAGTATATGTTCCCCAGGGAGGGTCTCATAACAAACAGGAAGAGAATACATACAAAAGCCTAGAAGGGAACATTTATTTATCCATGTAGATAATACACTTAAGATAGTTATGCTTTCCCCACCCCCTCCATCAGAGAAACTGTAAAACGTTTTTGAGCATAATTATTTCTTCTTATTTTAAAGTCAGTTTACTAGGGTCAGGATATCTAAGTCAGATTTATACAGGATTATGCAGAACTGATATTTAAGATAGGCAGAGGCAAGATTATTTACATTGTTTTGTTTTTATGATTCTTGAAAAATCATGTTTGGTTTTCAATGATTATGGCACTTGTAGTAAACATATTTGTGGTGTTTCACCACAATTGTTCTTGGACCATATAGATATGGACTCAACAAATATATCATTTTAATATTTTCCTGGACCTTCTTTTGCTTTATATAAAACCAGGGTTGGGTAGTATCAAAGAATTAAAATATCATTTAAAATACAAGTCTTTAAGTTCTCCCTTACTCTTCATCAGTTGTGGCAAGTAAAACTCAGGAGTGGGAGAGAACCACTGTTTGTAAAATTCTTATGTTTTCATATACACCTTATTGGAAGTCGCCCAGAGTGGTCGACCAGACCAGATGGGCAGGATATAAATCAAACAAATTAACTAGAAAAGTTTAAAAGTTATCATGGCCAGCTGCTGAAGTTACAGAATCTGAAGTTGTATTAAAGGTCTAAAATGCAGGCTACAAAACAAAGAATTTGTTTTGAGACCTGGCAGATTACTAGAATCTCCAGGTCTGTAGCATCATACTCCCTGAGATTTCAGTGGGGGAAATGAGAGATGATTATAATTTATTTCATAAAGGTTTGAAAAATAAGGTGCAGAAAATTTGCCATTGTCTTTCCTGAGCACATAGATGAAATAACAGCCAACTCAATCCTGGATAAATCTCCTTTTCCCAAAGAGCTTCACTGGCAGCTATAAAATGCTATTTATATTTCCAGGTGATTTGGAGATTCAGTTTTCTGTGTCTGCTCTCTATGGAAAGAACTTATCACAGTCCTGGAGCAACATAAAGGGAAAAAGCTCTAGCTTCTGACAATCTGGCCAGTTTTGCTACTTATTGTGTTGGCTTGCTTCACAAGCTGAGATGCTGACCTTCTGAATCTGTAGTGGCGCTCAGATGGCATTAGTCACAGTCTTTTTTATTATGCATATTTCATATTCAAATCTGTAACAAGATGGTTGTGGATCAAGACCACAACTATTCCCTGTAATGAAATCAAAGCTGTCTTGAAAAATAAGAGCAGATGAAGAGCGAAGTGAAAAAAATTATTAAAATCTATGAAAATAACTAACAAAAAATTGGAAGCAAATGGGGGAAAACCCTGAAAAGAAGCATGCGCGCACGCGCGTGCACACACACGCGCGCGCACACACACACACACACACACAAATGCAGTGAAAATGGAGAAAAAGAAATACTACAAGGTGCTGATTGCAGGAAATCCCAACTTTCACTTAGGTGGCAATCCTGTGTCTTATTGATTCCAGTTCAAGTGCAGAATCACGTACAAGCAAATATTTCCTCCGTATAGAAAACTACAGATGTCACAGAAAATGATTCCAGTTTCTAAAATTGTCTTCATCTGGATTTCTCCTTAGCTTTGAGGGGTTCTGAGTCACCCAGTGTTACTTCTTAAGTGGCACTGGTACATTAGCAATTCATCATCATTCATCTGTTTTTGATTTGGGGATATTGTTTAGATTGTTGCACATGTGCATTTTGCTGGCTTTTTTCTGTAGAAAAGGATGAGTGCCTGCAATTTCACATGGAAATTACCCAAGGACTTCCTCCTCCAAAATGGAAGGTCTCGAGTAATGATTCCGAGTCAGCCCAAGGGCTTAGAAAAATTGCCAGCCAAGCTTCTGTCCTCAGGTGAGAAGAACCCTCATAGAATATGGAAATGTGTGAATCTAGTATGGCTGTTAGTCCTTTCCTGGCATGACAGACCATTGTTTGTTATAACTTTCTAGCACAGCCAATACTCAAATTCAATTTATTGTCATTGAACGTATGTATGTACACTCTATATACATACAATGAAAGAACACTCAGAGGCCAGACCGAAAGCACACGTACTGTACACCTGCATAACAAACCCTAAATCCCAGAACCCTGCCTAAAACTCATAGTATCCACACAACATACAACACAACAGACCAAGTAATAGTAATACAGTCCAACAGCTTACTGCTGGTACTTCTTAAATTATTCCAATATGGAGCAAGTCAGATGTGGCTAAGAGTTTATGGCTCTATGGGCAAAGAAAGAAGATTTCAGCAAATGCAAGAAGCAAATAATCCTAATTTTAACACTACACTACAGTCTCACAGACTCTGTTTATCTCCGGCGAGGAAGTCCTCATCAAATGCTAGTCAAACACAGATAATTTCTTTTTTTCTATCTGATCTTCCATTGGTTAATGAGCCTCTTCTCTCCTTAGACTTTACAGTAGTTATCCTGCAAACATATTCATGATGCAACTAAGGCTTTTAATAACTATATTTCTTTACTTGTTTAGTGATCTTATACTGTTACATTTCCTCTTCTTTGTTGCTTTTCTTTTTACGCCAACACACAATTCGATTAGAAAAAAAAAAACATTTCGGGAAAAATACCGACAACTAATTTTTCTTCTAAGTAACAATCTTTTAAACACCACAAATGACTGCTCATTAGCCTGTCAGTGTTTATAATGGCTTTCAAAACCGTAACAAGAATTAAAAATAGTTGAGTGAACAGAAATGGACATTAATTTGTCATACTTAGAGAGAAATGCCTGAATGAGCTATCCTCTGTGCCCACTTCATCTTAACAACCAAAAGCACTAATTTATTGGTTGCTTACCTTCATTCTACCTGTCAGGTGCTGTTTTTTCTTCCTTTATACCTAACTGACCTAACTTTATTTATGATGTAATAGAAGACTACTTCCAAGAAGGAAGACAATCTGCAGCAGTGATAACATTCCGCAGTTTAAGCTTTGTTTCTGAAGCAAAAAAAACAAAACAAAACAAAACAAAACAAAACGGAAAAAACCCTAAGAACTTGCAACAAAACAAAAAACCAAACCAAAACAAAATGGAAAAAACCCTAAGAACTTGTTTAATCTGGGGAGCAGGGGAGACAGAAACCATGTAGTAAGGGAGAGGAACTGGTTTTAACCCCCAAAGAGCACTGTTATACAGAGACTGCATAAGCATCAGGAAGAGATTAAAGGCTGAGAGTGCATAAAGCACTTGACTGCTGAGTAACCTATGTGGGATGTAAAGCCAAATGAACATCAGTTGGTGCCCCATGAACCAAGAATATCCCTCTGAAGTAGTGAAAAAATCATCACTTCAAGAGGGGCGTAGCAGGTACATAGGAAACCACCTGAAGTGTGTGTTAGAATAAGAGGGCTTCAAACAAAGATTTCCTCATTTTGGTATGGCACAAAAGCCGCAGCCAGTACACTCAGGAATTGTTTGTTCTACATTGTTTTCCTGTTAGATAATTACATAAATCCTGAAGTGCAAGATGAATCTCAAAAGACAACACTCTTTGTCCTATTTGTCTTTAAGATGAAAAGTGAGAAGGTAGAGGAAGGGGGAGCCCATGGGGCTGCTCCTCCGAAGGAGACCTGCTCCTCAGTGTGGTTGTGTTATTGCATCCTTAACCACCACAGGGTATCTCTAAGCAGTCAAGAAGGAAAGGAAAGAATTTTGGAAGATTTATTCAGGTTTGTTATATGAGATGCTAGCCGTGAAGAGCTTTTGCTAAACCGAAAGACTTTTATGAACATAAAATCAAATTAAACAGCACATTAAGGGTTCTATCTTCTCTGACTGATGTGCACGCGCAAACAACTCTCATTAACGGTAATGGCAGTTACGCACGCGCATCAATCGGAGAACAGATCCCTAAGTGCTTTATTGTTTTTCCTGGAGATTTTTCTCTATTGGACTTTAATTAAGCTCCTGCTAGGCTTGCAACTTTCCTGTTTTTTAAGGTTTTTCCCTCCCTGCCTTCTCTCAAAGAAAACAAAAGTGAAGTCAGCGTCTTTGCCAGATAAAGACCACCGCCCCCCCCAAAAAACCCCAAATGTTGCAGATATCCAGCATCAAGTCTCTGTGGGAGGAAAGCATCTGTCCTGAACGTTACCTTGCAGTTTTAAAGGACTTGTCATCCTGATAGATGTTTCCTAACTGACCATGAGAGAAGACTCATCTGGTCTGCTCTGGTGACTTTAACAACAGCTTGAGTCACACAAAATCAGCAGGTGAAGCTTTTCAAGTCATGGAGATAAGTATCATCACCTGCTACTGATCCAGATAAAACTGCTATTACAGGCACAGCTGTAGGGTGGAAATTCTGAACTGGGGAAGACATTTTTTAAACAGTAAATTAAGAAGTAAAAAGGAAGATTTTATGAACACAAACACGCACATGCGCTATTGCTGGGTGTTGTGAGGCAAATACATAAACCAGGGATTGTACAAAATATATCTCACAATGTACTGTGATGAAATACACCATTTCAGTTCTTCAACTTCAAGCCACAAAAAGCACAGTTCTTCACATTATGAATATTAATCCTGACTAATAGTATTTTGTTTTGGGTACAGCTATTATCAGCATGACGTGTTTAATGATGAGACAACACATATGTAGTTCTATTATTTTCCTCAATGCACAGAGTTCCTCTCAGACAAATAATTTCTGTAAAATAGATAATCGCTGAGGCAATTCAAAGAAGCAGCAATAGCGCAGTATGGAGGGAGGCATGGAGCAGGTAAAGCAACATTTGGGATGCATCTTTCCCAAATTGGGGCATTTCTTGAAAAAGCGCATAGGCTATTTAATTAACTGTTACTGTATGTGATGTACTTACTTATTACTTCCACAAACTGTTCAAAGAAGCAGTATGGGAACAGTGGCTCAGGCAGCTCTCTGAAAAACATCTTGAGTGCTCCGGTGACAACGTGGATGTCCTCCCACTGGCTGTCATCCAAATTCAGCTTCTCTTCTGGGAAAACACGAGGAGAAATGGAACAACTGGTTTTAATGAAACAATTACAAGACACTAATTATTATGTTAATGTTTGCCTACTATCATCAGCAACCGTTAACAGCCTTCTGCACCTAGAGGTTTGGTGCTGTGCTTGGGTTTTTTTTCCCCCCTTTCTTTTTTTTTCCATAAGAAGAGAACATTTTCAATGGAATACCATCTGTAGGAATGCAGCTAACAAAAAAAAGAGGCACAAAGAGACAGTAGCATTGACACAGCGTGTCAGATACATTTATTCCCATAATGCATCAGTAGGAAAAATTAACATCACAGATCAACATGATTCAAAGCTATTTGGTTTTGAAGCTGAGGGGCTAAGAGTTGCCAATGATGACCGGCTCATGGGACCGGCCTAAAGGCCTTGTGGAGCCAACAGGAGACATATGCTAAATGTGGCAATACAAAATGAGTTATTGCTTTACATGTGTTAGTCTTGCTATGTACAGGAGAATAATGGACCACACTTTTCAGTTTTTTCTTCTCTCTCTTTTTCTTTTTCCTCTGAATGTACTGTCAGCAAGGAATTGAGTACTGGGAGTGGGGGGAGGTTGTCTATTCATTTGTCCTTCCTGCTTCAAAAATATTTTGTTTATTTTTTTTCCAACTCTGGGAGGAAGATTTGCCCAGCAATAATATTAGACAGACCCCTGTTGGCCTACCTAGGTTGTGCAAAGCTGTCAAAAATGATAACACGCTAAAGACAAACCGCATGTGCTTGCAAAACTGATTTTCTGAACAACAGAATTTTTTTCCTTTTCTTTTCCCTTTTGAAGCTTGGCTGAACTGGGGAATTTAAATATAAAAGGAGGAGAGTGCAAAAAAAAAAACTAATAAAAAAGATTGGGTGATTATTACTTTAGTTTCCTTTGAATGCTTATTAGAAACATCTGGCATTATTATTGGGCTACAACAAACTCCAGTATCAGAGACCTAACAAAATTCAGAAGAAGTGGAAATGCCTGTCACTCTTAATTAAAAGGATTCAAAGCTCTTTACAATGTCACCTGTTCCAGAAATAGGATTCATAAATATGTGGCATCGCTTTTCGTTATTTTCCATCTGTATGCTGGTCAACATCATCCTGATGTTTTCAAGAAACGCAGGAATTTTGAACAGGAGTTAACTGGCCCATGTTTAGCACTATTGGTAATATTTATATAGTCACTTTTAAAATAAAGGTCTTAGGGGTGAAATCCTGTACTTCACAACTTAATTCCTCCACTGCAAGACTACTTCTGTCTGAAAAAAAGAAGAATTTAAATGGATATATAAGTCTCATCAGCATAATAGTATCGTGAAATTAAAATAGCTTCTCAAATAAACTACCTTTACTTTACATAACTGAAAAATGTGATTTTAATTGGTTTTCCTTTCTGTGAAAACAACACACCAAACATCCAGACCTTTCATCCACATAAAAACAATCCATTTTTGAAATTGAATTAGGAGAGCAGACTTTCAAAACAAAACAAAACTCCAAGATCAAATTTGATTGATTGTATTTCAACAATTAGCCTTTTATTTTTTTCCCACACGCCAGTGAAAGAGACAGACAGCATCTTAGCAGGCCATTTTTACACAGTTATCTGCTCACAATAGCTTCAAAAAGAGAGACCTGATGGGGTTTACTGTCACTTTAAAGAACAGGGTGGGTTTTCACATTGTTGAAATCTGTCAGATATTTTGAAATGTCCTTCTCACTATGGTGCCACACCCCCTGCGTGCCCTTATAATAAAATTGGTTTTACTCCTGATTAAATCATTTTCTCCCTACCCACTACCATACTTCTCATAATGGACCTATGTGCACTACAGCTGGTGTTCTTCCCATGGTACCAATTCTTACTTTATCTTTTAAGCACTTTGCTGCTAAGATCTCATGCAGAGTGCTTATGTTTTGTTAAGAGCTTCATTCTTAGAGAAATAGCTTAACACATGTTCTAAAAATGTTGTACAACTTATTGTTTAAAACACATTTTGAAAATGTATAAGTACTGTAGTGCTGGCACAAACCTTTATGCACAAACGTTTCAGAAACATGTGCGTATAGACACACAAACAAACACAATTTATCTGGCTTCGTAGGGTATATTTCTTTCCTTCCTTGTGCATTTGGTATAAACATCTAAAGTGGAATACTATGCTTCTAAGACTTTAACAAGAATTATCTTCCCAGATTTTTGCACCATTTCCAGCTCTTCAAGGCAACATGTTAGGAACTATCATCTTTAAAGCACAGGGTGTCATTTTACCCTTAAGCAATAAAGTGATTTTTTTTAAAAAAATGTTTGTTAGAAGGAAAGCATGCCAAATTAATTTTTTTTTAAAAAAGCAGCATTCTAAAAGAAACTTGAAAGCATGATCAGTGTATTCAAGGTAATACCCTGGTTTTTGTTATCAGCTTGCGGGTGAAATTTAAGCACAGTTGATCACAGTTTGAAAGAGGACCAGTCCTATTGTTACCCTCTTGGAAGAACTCGCAGCCTTCTGCGAATGACACAAAAAGGTACATGTGTGCATACACATGCCAGAGGAGGAGGCAATAAATTAGTGGGGTTGTACCATGTAGACTTGCAAGTGGTTATGAGCCATGAAAAACAAATAAGAACTCTTGCTCTTTCAAAGAACAGGAACAAGAGCTCCTGGAAGGAGCAGTGGCAGAATGTTGCAATGCATGTTCATTCCTTAAGAGGACTGTACCGTTCAGGGCACCACAATGCCCCTCAGGAGACCTGTGGGCTGGCCCTTGTGATGTCACAGGAGGTAGGCTGAAGCAATGTCATGGAGACAAAGCAGGAGCTGGGGTAGGGGGGGAAATTCAACAAATCTGAATTTACCAGAATCTAGGTAAAATCCCACTCACAAAATAGCATGTCAAGCCACAGCCAAGAAGGGGAAAAAAATCAGTGGCTGGCAGGTGGCAAAATGTGCTCAGCTCTGAGGAGACTGCAGCCATTCCCACTAGAGTTCATGTCCTACAATGCTTTCTCTACAGCACACATGGTGGAAAGCTCACTGGGAGGTATTTCTACTGCTGCCAGTGCTTCTGCAACCAGACATCTCATGAGTTGTAATGCTGGTGCTCCACTCCTTGCTTTAGATGCACTGTCTGTACACACAGGTTCTCTTCCAAGTGTTCTTTCCCCAATCCTGTTTTTTAAAGCAGCAATGTTATGCAAATGCACCATGCCTAAAAATGCATAAGTGCTGAACGAGGCACCATTGGTGCCAGTTGAGAATGGCTGCCATATCTTTAAAACCAACTGGCTCCCTTGAGCCTATTTTTTGTGGACACAAAAACAAGTGGTAAAGTGCCTCTGCTGCCCTCTGAGCATGACAGCAGCTCTTTAATTTTACATTGTTAAGTGTATGAATTTCTGGGCCATATTTTCATTCTGAAGTTTCAATTAGAATACTTGCTCACTGGAGACTATTATTTCCTCTTACTTGTCTTGGTGGTGGTGAACCGTGTAGGCACCAGAGGACCACAAAGCTGTGGTCATGCTGTCAGTTTTCAATGGCTTTTTGTAAGGGATAGAGCCTCCAAATTGGATTTTTCCTAAAGGAAAGTTAGCCCCATGGTAAGGCCAGAAATCACAGGCACCTGTTTTAAAGCCATTGGGTACACAAGCATCAAACTTTCTCCACCTCCAGTTCAATCCCTTAGATTTGTTTCCCAATCACATTGGGTACACAAGCATCAAACTTTCTCCTCCTCCAGTTCAGTCCCCTTAGATTTGTTTCCCAATTATGTTGTTGTTGTCTAGTCGTTAGGTTTTGTCTGACTCTTCGTGACCCCATGGACCAGAGCACGCCAGGCCCTCCTGTCTTCCACTGCCTCCCGGCGCTGGGTCAAATTCATGTTGGTAGCTTCGGTGACACTGTCCATCCATCTCGTCCTCTGTTGTCCCCTTCTCCTCTTGCCTTCACAAAGTGTGCTGCTTATATATCCAAATATATTTGCTACTCATTTTGATCTATAATTTGAACTAGCTCCAGTATGAGGGCCATTATTAAAACTTCAGCAGCAAATTCTGTTGATGACATAAAATAGTATTCTATTCTATTCTATTTTATTTACTAAGTGGTGTGATATAAATCCAATCCAAATATATTTGCTACTCATTTTGATCTATAATTTGAACTAGCTCCAGTATGAGGGCCATTACTAAAACTTCTTCAACAGAAAATTCTATTGATGATATAAAACAGTATTTTATTTTATTTTATTTACTAAGTGGCGTGATTATGTAATCCACATGTATGCAAATTCTTCACTTTTCAGTCCATTCCTTCCACAAAACACCTGGTACAAGTAAGACTTTTTAAGACATTCAGCATAGGATTAATATGTATGCAGCACAAGTAGTGGGAGGAGACTACTTCTGCCCTCTCTGACCTAGCTTTCCACATCTAGAGAGCTAAATCTGAAGTGGAGAACTATTTTTAACCATGGGGGTGCTCCACCTGATCAGAAACACTGAAAAATTAGAAATCCAAATTCTGTGGAGATGTTCCACACATAGGCTGAAATCCAGTACTAAGTAGCAATTACAACAGATCCATTGACTAGGTGGATATTACACAGGCATCGACTCACATTGTTGTTGTTGTTTAGTCATTAAGTCATGTCCGACTCTTTGTGACCCCATGGATGAGAGCACGCCCAGGCCTTCCTGTCTTCCACTGCCTCTCAGAGTTGGGTCAAATTCATGCTGGTCGCTTCAATGACACTGTCCATCCATCTCGTCCTCTGTCATCCCCTTCTCCTCTTGCCTTCATAAAGTGTGCTGCTTATATAGTGCCCCATAGTGCTTAAAACACTTTCTGGGTGGTTTAGAAGTTAATTTTGCAGGCTACACATTGCCCTCCCTGGGTACTCATTTTACCAACCTCAGAAGGATAGATAGGTAGACTTTGGGCTGCCTACCTGGGACTGAACACTGGGTTGTGAGTAA